AAATGATAAATTATCTAAAAGTTGATGTTTGAGTAAACCAGGCATATTAAGTTTCCAGTTGACCTGGGAATTAGACTAAACTTTAGACTTACATTATAGCTTTCTTAGAAATTCCTTTCAACATTTTAAAACTGTGAAACAGTTTTAATAAATCTGGCCTAAAACATATTGTAAATAGTTGAAAACACTTAGCTGCCATCTTCAATCCAAGTTCCAGGAAAACCTCAAGTAACCTCAACTAATGAAACCAGAGCTTTCTTTCTCTTTTTTTTTTCTGAGATGGAGTCTCACTCTGTCCCCCAGGCTGGAGTACAGTGGTGTGATTTCAGCTCACTGCAACCTCCACCTCCCAGGTTCAAGCAATTCTCCTGCCTCAGCCTCCGGGGTAGCTGGGATTACAGGCACACACCACCATGCCCAGCTAATTTTTTTTATTTTTAGTAGAGATGGGGTTTTGCCATGTTAGTCAGGCTGGTCTCGAATTCCTGACCTCGTGATCTGTCTGCCTCGGCCTTCCAAAGTGCTGGGATAACAGGCGTGAGCCACTGCATCTGGCCCAGAGCTTTCTCTTAACTTCATTTTTCCATCTATCTCCATTCTGCTTCTAAGAAAATACAACAATAGCAAGAAAAGCATTTAGTATCAGAAATTGTGAATGATGATTCTGAAAGAGTTGTCTTCTTGCTGTTACATTTGGTCTATCTTTCTACAATGTCTACCAGGGCTAGGTTCTTGGGTGTGGGCCTGGTGCAGTGTGGGACCCAGTCTTAGCCCTCATTTGGCTCTCAGTGCCCAGCCCATTGCAGACTTTTAGGAGAGGTCACTTAATCCTTGTCTCTAGTCACAGCAATATAGTTCCACGCACTGGCCTCATGGACCTCAGTGAAGGAGGTTGATGTTGCTCACACTGTTCCCTTTGGGCAGTCTGTCAGCTCCTTCTTCCTCGCCTCTTGACGGCATCTGCGGCAGGTGGTGTGGCTTTCCTGTCACCTCCAGCTACTTAGGCATCCAGGCCAGTCTACCCAAAGCTGCCTTCCTGTCTCCCACCTACAGCTGCTCTCCTTGCAGCAGTTCTGGCCAGAGCAGGGGCCTGAGTTGCGGGCTCCAGCCATTTCCTCCAGGCTCCACTCCCTGCCTGTGCTCCCCTCCCCGATGCTTCATTCTCCTCACTTAGGGACAGGAAAGCAAGATGATTTGGGTGTGAGATACACAAGGAAAGGCCAAATTCTTCTTCCCGGACCAGGGCCCTTGTGGTTCCCCCTGCTGTGAGGGGTCCTCTGTGGTGGTGGGCGTCCAGATGCTCTCCACTTAGAATGCTCCTGTGGGGCCTTCAGGAGCCACTCCGGGGACCTCTGCACTGCATCTTCCTCTGACATGGGTGACGTGCTCTGACCGACTTCCTCCACCCCACCTCAGCTCTGCCTCCAGGGGTGTACACCTCCAGCCTCACTCTGCTGCCTTGTCTTGCCCTGTCTCACTTAGGGACTTGGGCCCAATGGGCAATGACTCCATCCTGTTCCCTTCCAAAGCCTCTGCTTGGCCCCAAGAAAGTATTCAAGTACAGACTGCTCAGAAAGCTGCCTTTTCTCTCCCCAGTCACAGGGACTCAAGCCAGCCTTCCACCGTGAGACTTCTTCAACTAAGAGGCAGCCACCAATTTCTGTCGTAGGTACATTCTCAGTGGCTAGGGACACCACCATATTCTCTAGAGCTCCAACTACTGCTACTCTGGTGGCAACTTGAGGGGGTCCTGAGAATGTCTGCAAGTTGGGGAGCATCCCACCAGAAAAGAATACGCCAGTGTCCCCTCTTACAGAAAACTCTACCCTCTATGAGCACTTCTCTCCCTGACTGGAGATAGGTAGGGATGTGAACAAGAATATTACTCCAAACACAGCCTAACTCGTAAGGAATGGGCACCAACTCATCGGCATTGACCTAGTTATCAACACCCTGACCAGCTGCACTGGCAAATCTGCGCAGGAACCCATTCCCAGCCCTGTTCAAGTCCTAAGGGAGTGAAAATGCCACCGCCCTCTCTGTAAGCCCACACCTCAGCCCCTCTGACCCTCTTAAGGAATCCCTGGCTTCTCTTCCACTGCCTGCCTGCAGTGATGGTTACTGGACCAGATCAGCTCTCCAGCAAGACATCACTTCCTTTTTTATAGCCAAGAAAGCTTCTACTGTAAGTATATGCCAATTGTAGGTTTCCAAATAGGAAGAGTCATGCTCAGGAGACAATGAGCTCTGTGTCATTGCTGGTGATCAAACTGGATATGAGATGTTTTAGATATCCCCCTGGGTAAAAGGTGGGATGAAAGTGAGAATATTTATTATTCTGTTAATTACGTGAATATCTTTATTTTTAATTCATGTGATTTGGTTTATTCTTTGTGCTTCACAGTTTTCTGCAATATTAGTGGATAAATAATGATCGGGGGAAGACAATAAACAGCCAGCACCCAAGACTTGGACCCTGAAGCTATCCTGGAAAGGAATATTTGCCATACTCCTTCAGTCTGCCCACACTGGCACCAAAAGATCTCTGGAAGCTGCCTTTAAAATGTAACCCATTTGCCAAGCTACTGGTGTCTTCCATTCACCTGCCACACTGGAGAGAAGCAGCCTCTCCGCAAAGCTATTTTCAGTTCAATCTTGCATTATGTGGTGCCCTTTCCCATAGCTCTTCATGTAGGGGTGCAGCTTCCAATACGGCGGCGAAGGTGAAATCCAGGCCAGCAGCTGAATTGCATCTTAAACACATCCCGCTCATCACTCATCCCCTTGATAGCAGTATTACCAGGACTCATACTGCCTGACTCTTTACAGAAAAATGTGTACTGACCCTCAGTCTAGTTTTGCAGTTTGGATTTTTACAACTGACACTGGAAACAAAAGCTTCTACTTTGTTGAAAATGCCATTACTTTCAATGGCAAAAACCACAATTACTTTTGCGCCAACCCAATATATATCCAGTGTGCCCAATTTGTTTCTTTTTCTTTTTTTTTTTTTTTTTTTTGAGACAAGGTCTCACTCTGTTGCCCAGGCTAGAGTGCAGTGGCACCTTCATAGTTCACTGCAGCCTCAAACTCCTGAGCTTAAGTGATCCTCCCATCTCAGCCCCCCAAGTAGCTGGGACTACAGGTGTGTGCCACCGTGTCCAGCTAATTTTTGCATTTTTTGTAGAGACGAGCTTTCGCCATGTTGCCCAGGCTGGTCTCGAACTCCTGGGCTCAAGTGATCTTCCTGCCTCAGCCTCCCAAAGTTTGAGGATTGTAGGTGTGAGCCACTGTACCCAGCCCCAGTATGCCCAATTGTAAGTCAAACAACCTTTCAAATAAACTAGATCAGATATTCATAGACTCCTACAATGTTCCAGATTCTGAAGAAAGACATTTTAAAGGTAAACTCCCAAAAATTAATATGAAATGTTCTATATATTTAAATTAATTTTTCCTAAGAATGGAAACACTTGATATAACTTACTCATGTGCTAGGTGAAATGTGATCACTTAAAGGAACTAATAGTGCCATGAACACAGCAGTGTATAAAACTTGCTTAAAAGAGGCTTATAAGAAAATACAAAGAGAATATTTAAGGGGTTACCATTGTGAGATAACCAGTGGATTTTCTTATTTTTTTCATTTTCAATTTTTTGTAATGTAATCACCTTATTTTTATTGAAAACCCTTATTATAAATAGTTATGAAAGAATGCTGCAGCTTAATAGCGTGAAATACAATATATATATGATCTATAAAACAGGAAGAGAACTTACTTAGGGCCAAGTTTTGTTTTGTTATATACCTTCTTGTAATTTTTTGAATTATGTTAATATATTATTTTTAAATAGATATGAAAAATATACGTATGTACACACAAATATATATATGTTCATTTTGCTCCCTCAGATTCCACTCTTCTGTTTCATTCTTTATATTCATATCCCATGCATCAGATATTGTGGATATGAGGGAGACCAATTAATAGTAATCATCTACACCAGGCCTTGAATTACTATAGAAATAAGACAAAAAGATTGTACAGATGGGAGACTGAAATAAAAGGCAAGGTTGGAGGATATGACTTTAATCAGCAGGCAAATTTTCTTAGTTTAAAAATAACTTCTGAATGAAATATATTCCCCTCCATTGTCTCAAGTAGAGCATAACGGAGGCAGGTATTGTCCTATACTGTAGTAATACACAAGACATTAACCCCTCATATAAAATGGCACCTACTAATCTAAATGCTCCTCAGCTGCAAACAGCAAGTATAACCTTAGGGTGTATGCACCTGTGCATGCAGGGCCTGGTTCTGTACTTAGGTAGGGAGTTTCACGAGAGATGCCTGCTATCATTTGGGGAAAGCTACCTCCGAAGGAGAAAGGAACCCATGCCCAGGTTCTCCTTCCAGCTCACCAATCAGATAAGTCATTTTCCTCTCAAGGGGAGGAGTGAAGAAGGGAATAGAGAAAGACTAGGAATGTTACCCTCATCACAAATAGAGAAAGAAGGAAACATCATAGAGAAGATTCCTCCAGAAGACTAGACAAAAATGTAAAACTATTAAAAGTCATACTAAGTGCTTTTAAGAAAATAAACAAGGTACTATGATAAATACCAAGAGTGGAAAGAACTCATACACACTTAGGTTATTTTCAAAATAAAATTCTTTAGTATCTATCTATCTGCAAGAAAAATTATATATACATATATATATATATATATATACACACACAATAGAAATGTAGAAAGCTTAGGATATGTAGCTGCAATATTGAGGGCTATTTATCTTCATATTGTCTATTAAACAAAGAACACTGTTGGAACATGATATGAACTGTAAATGAGCTGGATTACAAGAGTTATTTTTAAGTTTGTGAATCCCTTAGAAAAATTAACTTAATAAATTATGTTCAAGATCAAGGTTTGAAATAATATAGTATCTCAAATAATACTGCAAATAATCAGTTAAGATTTCTCATTGTTTGCTTACTCTGTTGCTTCTCTGTTGGGAACTTTTCTCATGGAGAAAGCTACCATCGCTTTGAAGAGATATTCTTCATTTGTATCCCAGGCATACTGAAAGAGAAGGAAAACAGAAAGTGTATGGAGGAAAACATGGTCCACTGGGTTCTAACTGTACCCACAGTGGTTCTCTCTCTCTTTCTTTCTCTCTCTCTCTCTACACACACACACACACACACACACACACAGACACACACACACACCCCTTTCTCATACATTAGATACTGGAAACCATGATCAATTATATCCCCATAATGTTTAGGGTAGGTTTCTTGGCCATTCTAAGTTTGGTGTGTCTCCTGTTGTACTATCTTCCTAAGAACCTGCACATCAGTAGCCAAATAGGGAATTTGGATATTTTATCCTGGCCATATATGGTCCATTTCCATTTCCTTCCTCTCTTTCTCTATTCCCTCATTAACTCTCTCCCAGTTGCCTTTATTAACATCAGCACAATTTTTTAAAAATTTGCTTAGCCAGAAACTTGAGTGTGTGTGCATATTATGCTCTGAATTTTGTCCTCACCAAAAAAATTTCATGTTGAAGTCCTAACTTGCAATACCTCAGAATGTAACTGTATTTGGAGATAGAGTCTTTGCAGAGGTGATTAAGTTAAAATGAAGTTGTTAGGGTAGGCCCTAATCCAATATGATTGATGTCCTTAGAAGAGAAAATTTGGACACAGAGGGAAGATGATGTGAAGACACAGGGAGAAGATGGCCATCTACATACAGGCCAAAGAGAAAGGACTAGAACAGATCCTTCCCTCGCAGCCCGCGGAAGGAACCAACCTTATGACATGTTGACTTCCGGGACTGAGAGCAAATAAATTTCTGTTGTGTAGCTCCCCAGGCTGTGGTACTCTGTTATGGCAACCCTAGCATATTAATATAGTATATCGGACTCATTCTGCTCCCTAATGCAGCAAATGCAAAAAGCCTGAGGCAAAAAGAAACTGAGCTGTTTAAGGACCAACAAGGAAGGTAGCAACTAAAGCAGAAGCAGGAAGGGAGAAAATAACAAAAGCTGAGGGGAGGGGAGGAACTTGGTTAGGGTGGGCATTGGTATATCACAAGGACATTGTCAGGATTGGGGTTTCACTCTGGGATGGGGAAACATATTTTACCGTTGCTGCCTTTCTCCTCTCTGGTGGCAGGGGGTATAGTAAGTAAAAATAAATGAGTCCTAAATAACAACAAAAAATGTATTACTCAGTTACCTTCTCTGGGTAAGGTTTATGACTGTGCTGTACTTCTTCCTTTCTCCTAAACATTTTCATAACACATTCTTTTTTGGGAGGGAGAAGGGATGGTGTCTTGCTGTGCTGTCCAGGCTGGTCTCAAATGTGTGGCCTTAAGTGATGCTCCCACCTTGGCCTCTGTAACATAGAACCTTAAACTTCCTTCAGTTGCTTCTTCCACTTCACCCTTTTCTCCTTCAGTCCTACCTTGTGTAACTTTGCTGTAAGATGTTACCAGAAAGAACAGAAAAGGGGGACAAGAGTAGTGACTCACACCTATAATCCCAACACTTTGGGAGGTCAAGATGGGTGGATCACTTGAGCCCAGGAGCTTAAGACTAGCCTGGGCAACATAGTGAAACCCCATCTCTACCAAAAAACAAAAACAAAAACACAAAAAAAATGAAAAATTAGCCAAGCATGGTGGAATGCACCTGTGGTCCCAGCTACTCAGGAGGCTGAGGCAGGAGGATTGCTTGAGCCTGAGAAGTGGAGGTTGCAGTGAGCCAAGATCATGCCACTGCACTCTAGCCTGGATGACAGAGTAAGGCCCTGTCTCCAAAAAAGAAAGAAAGAAAGAAAGAATGGAAATGGAAAAATAACTTTTCTCACATGTAAATATTAAATACTGAATTTTAATGTCAACTTTAGGTCTTATTTGAAGTGCTCCTTCAATCTTTTAACGTGAACTTTTCATTGATATTATACTATGAAAGTTTGACAGTAACTGACTCATGGTATAGCTCTTTGTTTTTGATAATGCATTTGTTTCCAATATTATTTTTATTCAGAATAAGAGTAGCTATAATCTAACCTAATAATAATTGAATAAAACATGAAGAAAAAATGAGTCTGATTAAAAATAGTTCAGAAACACTATTCAGACAAGGAAGGCTTATTAACAGAATGTGAACACGAGGAATAAGCCTGCTCAAGAACAGATGTCAATAACAAGCTCAGTGTGGAAAACGAAAATAAAGATGCTAGCCAGCTCTCCCTGGGTCGTGAATTTCAGTTGCTCTTAAGATCTTGGGGACAATTGACCTGATCTCCTGTTCTTCCATTTGTTCATCTCAAAAAAAAAAAGAGCATAAGCTGGCCACGTATGGGTCTAATTTTGGCCACAGAACAAAGTCCCAAGCTATTTAGATCAGAACAGGATTGATGCAGTTCTAGATTGGGCTGGGTATCCTGCCAATGGAACCAACTTATCTTGGGCAAGTGTGAAAGGATTGAAAGCTTACGCATAGGACATAGTAAATTTCTCCTAAGGCATTCAAACATTTCAAAGAGAGAGCCTCTACTTGTAAAAAGGAATTGAACACATATATTAATGAGAAAATGTACAACTTAAGAGAGGATAAGGTAAGAGTTACTAAAGCTAAACATTTCTATACTTTTGGTGGCACATATACACCATGGAATATTATGCAGCAATCAGAAATGATGAGTTCGTGTCGTTTGTAGGGACATGGATGAATCTGGAGAACATCATTCTCAGCAAACTGACACAAGAACAGAAAATGAAATACCACATATTCTCACTCATAGGTGGGTGATGAAAAATGAGAACACATGGACACAGGGAGGGGAGTACTAAACACTGGGGTCTATTGGGGGGGAAAGGGGAGGGTCAGCGGAGGGGGGAGCTGGGGAGGGATAGCCTGGGGAAAAATGACAAATGTGGGTGAAGGGGAGAAAGGAAGCAAAACACACTGCCATGTGTGTACCTATGCAACTGTCTTGCACGTTCTGCACATGTACCCCAAAACCTAAAATGCAATAAAAAATTAAAAAAAAAACATTTCTATACATTATGATCCATCAATCTACTCCTGAGTAAATACCCCAAAAAAAGAAAGCATATGGAAAATACATGTATAAGAATGTTAATAGCAGCTTAGCTACCTGTTATGCAAATACTTGACACACAATAGGTGCTCAAAGTGAACACAGTGTGAACACATTTTTGAACACATCTTTATATCCCACATGTGGCTTCACAGACCAAGTGGTACAAATTAATTGCATATATTTATCTATTAATTCAGATGCCTTAGTTCATCATTTCAATAACATGTGCCAAGACCTTAAATGCCCCAGCTCACCTTGCTTTTTGCACACATCTAAGAACACTCAAATCATGGCTAATCCCACATTTTGGGTAAGCAATTGGTATAACTAGAGAAAATTACAAAACAGGGTTAACTGATTTAACTCTAAATTCATGATGACCCACCCACAAATTGCCTAGGAATCCCTAAAGATTCACCATCAGGTCTCTTTCTCATGGGTCACATAACTATTTCAAACCTCTCTCTAGAGAGAGAAATGATGGTCAAAGCTACATCTCATCAACTTCAACTCTCCCATCCTCCTGACATCAAGATACAACACTTCCTCCATAGACACGTGTCTTAGCTGCCTCCTCTCCTGAAGTTCCAGACAGGACTATGCCTATCGGTGGCCATTTCCTTCACTCATATTAGGAACGCTTCTCGTCTGCCCTTCTCAGATCTAAACAACATCAGCTCCTCTCCATTCTATGTATTCAGCTCTGGCTGGAGTCTGTTCACTGTCTTTTAACCAAGCTCAAGATTTTCCCATTAAAGCAACAGCAAAAACAAATCACTTTATTCAGTATTCCTTTCTTCTACCTACTGCTATCCCTTTCCTGCCCTTCACAGCCAAATTATCCCAGTTGTCCACATGTCTGTTTCCACATGTTCATCACTCATTTATTTTTTAACTCTCTACTATCTGTCTTCCAGCTCCTCCACCCCACAAAAACAGCTCTTTCTAAAATCACCATTGACCTCCACATTGCCTAACACAATGAGCATTTTTCAGCCATCTTCTGGCTTGGCCTCTCAACAGCAGTTGATGCTCCTGAACACTCCTTTCATTTCAAAACAAAACTCCCTAACACAGCCCACATATTCCTTGGCCTGCCTGCTCCTCTCTCGCTAAGCTCATCACCTGCCATGTTCCTCCTCACTGCCCCAGTTCCAGATATTTCTGGCCTCTTTCTATCCTTTACTCTCACCAAGCTGCTGCCTGTGATAAGCCTTTGCACATGCTGTTCCCTCTGCCTTTCCTTCTTTCATTTCCTGGTTCACTTAAACTCAAGCTTCAGACATCACAGTAAGTGCCAGGTATTGTGGCCCTTGACAAAGCCAAAGTGCCCTTGTACTTCTTCCCGTAATACTTGTCGAGATTGCACATTTGCATTTGGTTTACTGAATATTTAATAGATGACCAATTTCATTACTACTACTGTCAGCTCCACAAGGGTAAGGACAAACCTTAATCACCATTACATCCCAGCATTCAGCATGGTACCTGCCATTGGAGGATATACTGGGATGGCCAGCCTTGCACACTAGTAGAGATGGATTCTGCACTCAGACTGCCTGGGCTCAAATCTTACCTCTGCCACTTGCTGACTTGAAATACTGAGCATGTTACTTAATTTCTTTGTACCTTGGTTTTCTCATCCATCCAGTGAGAATAGGAATACCTATACTACTACCTTCCTCAAAGGGTTGTGGTGGAGGCTAAATGATTTGCTAGGAGTAAGGTGCTTAGAAGAGCCCCGGCTAAAAAGTAAGCTAAGTTCTCAATAAATGCTGGCTGTTATAACAATCATTACTCTTGAGTAAATAATAAAATAACAAATTCATGAATTGATCTGCAAACAGAATACCTCTAAGTTTCTTTAGCAATGTTTTTTCTATTTCCAGCCTGAGGCATGTTAATATCACCTTCTGCTGGGGGGAAAACTTTGCAGACCACACTGGGAAACTGAAACTAGATTTAGACAATACTGCCTTATTAATTCAATGATCTTTACCATTCTTATAGCCACATGGGCCCTATGGCCATTTTTTTTAACTTCTATTTCATAAGCATATATTTCATATTGTTACTTTGATAATTGAGAATTGAAGAAACATCATGTTCAAATTAGAAATTTTTTGTGCTATGAAAGACTTTATGTGGGTAGAAACATCCCTTCTTTTCAATGAGTAGAAAATCGAGGCTAACAAAATTCAAATGACCAACAGTGAGAATCCAGACCCAATCCAGACCTGAGCGACTGACTCAGGCCACTTGGCTCCACTATCCCAAGGTGAGATGCTGGTTTTTTAAGTTGTTTTGTGTGGCACAAAACTTCACATATCTTCTAGCATACACTACCGATTAAATATTTTATGCAAACCTACTTTATTAAAAATTCATATTGTTCTATAATCTATCTTTAAGAGAGGATTAGATTTGAGTCTTTAGAAATAATTTATTGAAGATTAAGATAACTATTCAGACAGGCCCATTATTAGAGAAAGTACAGTGCTATTAGCAAACAAAATTGAAAATGAACACTCAGGTGCTCCACTTACTGCTTTATCTCCCAGAGCCGTTCTGATACTAAGTCTCACTTTAAAAGCATTTTCTGCACCTGCCAGAAAGAAAAAAGAAAGAGCAGTATATGAGGATTGAGATCTGCCAAAACAGAGTCTAAAAATCCTAATATATAATGCAACTCAAACCAACGGAGCACAGAGCTACAATTACAGTGCCCAAGTGCTCCTGGAAATGCACCCTAAATCACCTTAGATGGTTTAACATTTCCTTTCAGACTCATTAAACACAGCCCCAACTTTCAAGCCACAACATGTCTGCAGATTTAGGAAAATAAAGGGTTCTTTCAGTCAATGACTTGTGAATCATGTAGAAAACTGTTCATCTAAAGTTTCAAGGCTACATACCTGGTTGACAGAGCTCAGCATGAATAGCGGTCACCAGAAAAAAGAGCAGCCGCAACATTCTTTCAGAGTGGAAAACACAAGGCAAAGTGAGAAAAAAAAAATCCACGCTGCACTTAAAGCTGCCTTAGCCATTCTGTGACCCGGATTAGAATATCAGAGAAACAAGCGAGCCACCACCTAAAAGGTTTAATGATTAACACCCATCATTTGGGTTAATACTTCCATAAAATCAGCCCATCTCCTGTCAGTTATTTATAAAAACCTGTTTGGAAAACAGATTAGTTGTTTTCCCCACACCAACTCTTCCTCAAAAGAATGTTTCTTCATCTGACTCAAAGGTGGAATCCTCCCCTGACCCCTTCTGCGATTCTCTGGTTAGGTGCATGGTGGGAAGAATTGAGTCCTGTCCAGAGGTTTTCTTGGCATGCACTTTCTACCTTTTCGAGGTTAAGACACCTGGTTCATAGACAGGCTATCTATCCTCATTCAGGAAACAAACGTGACTCCTTTCTCTCTCTGGTAAACAAAGGGTGCCCTTCCTGTCAAGGGCCTCACCTGACTCTCACCACAGCAGGTGAACATCCCAGGAGAGCTATGGAGCTCCCACTTCCAACACGGGAATGACTGTGTTCAGCCCTGAGGTCTGACGCTTGAGTTAAATCCAACTTAGTGATACAGAGCAGCACTGTCCGAGGGACATTCTGTGGCGATGGGAAGGTTCTATATCTGTGCTATCCAGTATGGCAGCCACTAGAGGTAAGGGGCCATTGAGCACTGGAAATGGAGCTAGTGTTGCTGAGAAAGGGAATTTTTCTTTAATCCAAATTAAGCAGGCACACGGGCTACTGAGTAGTACTCTGATCAGTACAGCAATACAACAGTAATTCAGAGCTACCCACCCTGCAGTAGCTTCACTGGGTTATTTCTCTAATCCTCAGGCAACACTTCATAATTGCTATTATCACATGGGAGGGAACTCAGGCTCCAGCGTCGAAGACTTTGGCAGCAATGGGATGAGTGGGATGGGTGTCACTTTACCAGCTAGGTGGACTTATACTTGAACCCTGTCTCCACCACAACCAACTGCTCTGCGTCTCCAGTCATCATTGCTCAACACTGAAATCGACCAAATACCACACGGTCTCACTGGTAAGTGGGAGCTAAACATTGAGTACACATGGTCACAAAGAAGGGACAACAGAAAAAGGGACCTACTTAAGGATAAAGGGTAGGAGGAGGGAGAGGATCGAAAAACTACCTATCAAATACTATGCTTATTATCTGGGTGACAAAATAATCTGTACACCAAACTCCCGTGACACACAATTCATCTATATAACAAACCTCCACATGTTCCCCGAAACTAAAAGTTAAAAAACACCCTGAAGTTGCAACGAAACCTCAGAGATGCTCTAAGAATTAAGATAATGAGTGTCAAAGAATCTTTCCACTGGCGGGCATTGCACAGATGCCAATCGACGCCCCACCCAGAGGTTGATGTCAGGGCTTTCCTCTCTACCGTGCTGCCTCTTTATAAATTCAGTCAGTCCCAAATTCCACCCTGTTCCTGGAAAATTATGAATGGCAGAATGAGATTGGGTGACCCTGGCGTTAAATAGAAATATGGATTTTCAAAGCAACAATGGGGAAAATATCAACAATGAGATTTCTGCAGCACTTTGAGAAACACATCATTTGTCCCTCCTTGTAAGGGTGGTATTTTATTGTAAAGGACCCATTTCTGTCAACTAAAACCAGCTGAGGAAGCTTTTTCTCATCTCCTTCACCTTGGTTGCAAGGACATGGAGTCAGGAAAAGCTATACTAAAGGGAGAGGCAGCCACAAGTCAGCCCAGCCATTCTAGCAGTGTCACTCTATTAGATGCGATGGAAATTTCCAGAAGGAAGAGCTCACCTAGCTAACCCCTGAAAGAAAACAAAGGCAGGCTAGATGAAGTCATCTTGGGAAATGTTAAACGAGATAAAGTCATCACTGGAAGGAAAAGTCAATATACCTAGAGATAGAGATTGTAACAAAGCATTTTATTTGCATCAAGGAAGAAAGCTATGTGAAGGACATAGAAATCTGCTTCAGCTTCTCTTTAGCCTTACACTACATAAAAGTATCTGGCCAGGCGCAGTGGCTCACTCCTAGAATACCAGCACTTTGGGAGGTCGAGGCGGGTGGATCACCTGAGGTCAGGAATTCAAGACCAGCCTGACCAACATGGAGAAACCCCATCTCTACTAAAAACACAAAAATTAGCTGGGTGTGGTGGCGCATGCCTGTAATCCCAGCTACTTGAGAAGCTGAGGCAGGAGAAATGCTTGAACCCAGGAGGCGGTTGCAGTGAGCCGAGATCACGCCATCGCACTCCAGCCTGGGCAACAAGAGCAAAACTGCATCTCAAAAAAAAAAAAAAGTATCAAGTGGCTCTCTTGGCTTTTAGTAGTCATCTATGTAACTAGGGTTGAAGACAGTAAAACAGAGTCTTAGTGTAAGTCATTCATTTGAGAAGACAATCTCTTTTGAATTATGGTTTCTCAATGTTTGTTGTACCATCTTTTAAAAAGAGCAATAGAAATTCTTTTTAGAAAGTACAAAGAAGCACCAGGAGAAACATAAAAATCATCTGTAATTCCACCAGCATCAACGAATGATCAATGTTAATGTTTTCTAAATATTTGGAAGATACCTTTCTGCCTTGTGTTTTCTTTTCTGTGTATATATGTAAATACATGCACAATTTTTCTTAAAAGCAAAACTGGGATCATGTTATTATGCAGCTTTGTCATCTTTGTTGAACTTGCGTTTTGTTGTTGTTTGTTGTTGTTTTTATGGAGACAAGATCTTGCTGTGACGCCCAGGCTGGAGTGCAGTGGCACCATCATAGCTCAGTGCAGCCTCGACCTCATGGGCTCAAGCGACCCTCCTGCCTCAGCTCCCCGAGTTGAAACACAGAAACCTGCTTCAGCTTTCCTTTAGTCTTGCATTTCTTAAAAGCGAAAATTTTCTCCATAAGCTTTTACTTAGTCATCTATGTAACTAGAATCGAAGACAATAAAATACTGAATTTTAGTCAGCATAAACCATTCATCTGAAAAGGGAAGACAATTTCTTCTTATTTCATTAAGATTTCTCAATATTTGTTTTCTCTTCTTAAAAAGGATTGAAAAAAGCAATAGAAATTCTGTATAGACAATACAGGGAAGCAAAAAAAAAAGTAGAAAACATCCATAATGCTACCAGAATCAATGACCAATGCTAATATATTTTCATAGTTAGAATGTGCCTTCCTTAGCCTTGGGTCTCTTTATATGTTCTTATGGGGTGTTGTTTTTTCTCACTGCAGTGGCACTGTCAGAACACAGTAATATAATGGTGGGAATAAGAAGCACCCTTGTCTTCTTCTTTACTCTAATAGGAATGCTGCTACTCCATGGAATCTGGCAAGTGGCTTTAAAAATAATATGCCATGTGATAAAAGCATTATATTTGTAATTACAAAAAAAATTTTCCTCAGTAATTGGTGTTGCATTTTATTGCCTGCCTTTTCACTATTAAAATTTTTACCATTTGATGTATTACATTAATACATTTCTTACATTGATTCAATTCTTAGATAAAACTTTTCTAAAATTTATTTTTAGCATGCTGCTGGAATTAGTTGCTGGTTTTTCCCCTAGGATTTTAAAACCCATTTTCTTAAAAGAATATCATGTGTAGGTTCCTTTTCAAGTGCTGATTCTTGAAGGGTTTTTTCCTAGCCTTTACCATCTTGAATTATATAGAAATATTTCTAACATTGTCTATGTTTAGAAATACTTATAATGTATAAGAAATAAAGAGTTCACAGATGAAGAATCTGGACTATGTGTATTTTAGAGGAAGAGTTATTCAAAATTTTTCATTCCTTACATTTATTTCAGGTTTTATACTTCTTTCTGAGTCCATTTTGGCTGTTTACAATTTCCAAGAAAATATTCTGTTAAGATTTTCTAGTATTCTCATGGACTTTATAGAATATTTCCCATAAAATATCTACTTTCGTTGCTACGTGCTCTTTGTATTTTCTAATATGTGTATTAATTTTTTCATTGCCCATTATATTTTCTATTTTGTTGTTGTTTAATCAAAGAAGATCTTGAATATAATTTGCAATATTTTCTGTTTCTTGATTCATAAATCTTATTTGTATTTTTTACATACTGTAACAAGTTCATTGTTAAATAGTTTGGAGATCTCAGTAAAATAAATGGAAAACAGAAGTAGATACTAGGGTTCTTGCCTCTCAACATACTGTATTTTCTTACACTTTTCAAAGTCTTGCACAAATGTAGTGCTTGTCTTGATGTACAACTTTTAAGTAATAAGTTTCCAGAGTCTTCATATCTGTGTAAATTGCTTCATAAACTGCTCATTTCAGCAATTTCACATATGGGAGTTTAATAACTTATTAGTAACCATAGTAATGATGACAAATAAAGCAGTTTCAATCATTTTGAATATGTTACTATTTACTTCCAAATGTTCAGAGTTTAGAGCACATAGATTTAAAAGTTCAGATTACTGTTGCCATGAGCCACATAAAAAGGCATTGAGTATCCTGAGATGGGAAAATAAATTGATTTCTCCATGTTTTTTATACTCTGCAACGCTCTTGAAAAGTACTTTCTGGGCACATAACTATTGATCCACTGCTACGGGGTAAACAGAATATGAGATCACATGGAAAGAAAACATGTGTGTTGTTCTTTTAATTCATACAAGATGCCTTGTTAAGTTCACTAGAGTCGTAAAAGCATGTGGGCATATGTAGGCTCCATTCACCTGCAATAAAGCAAGAGGTGGAGATGACCAATATTTCTTTTTAAATTGACCCTGGTTATTTTGTTTCATTATCACAGATAGAAATTTAGTAAATATATAGCTCCTAAAATTAGTAAACTATAAAACCATCTAAAATGTGATGTTACTCTGTATATTTTTATTGGGTTTTGAGAAATGAATCTGGGTTTAACATATTTAAAAAATCAAATGAAATTTTTAATAATTGAACATAGAAACTTTGTGTAAGATTTTAAAACTTCACACTTTTTGCAGCTGGGCATGGTGGTTCATGCCTGTAAT